AAAGTCAGAACGGTTTAATATTACAATTAGGAAGTTAATGCAGAATATAGAAGTCACTAAATTGAAGAAATTTGAAGACACTGCGGTACATTACTTCAATTAGTCAGTTTATGCAGAATATAAAATTCACTGAATTAAAGAAATTTTAATAAAATGAAATAATATTATAAAAATAGTTCAGTATAACACAACATTGTTATGGTGAAATGACAACAAGGGTATAGAGATAGATAAGCAGCATAGTTGCAAGTACTATTTAACATAATCGCATTTCAACATAATAAGAATATGCTATCAAAACAACTAAGACCAGTATTTTTGCATATGCCGCCTTAAATTTTGTGATTTATATATATTTTTTTGTAAAATGATAACTGTACCTCCACAGATATCTGTGGGGTTGTAGGTAAATTGGTACCCTGACTATAATAACTATATACTATATTCAGTAGCTATAATGTATTATGTTTTAAGCGTTCGTCTAATCAAGACCCGGACGGACAAGCCCCATTACGCAAATATTCATCGTATTTTTCCCTTCAAACTATTCGTAAGCAGCAGCAGTGGCGGCGCGTCAATAGGGCCAACCGGGACAATGCCCCGGTTGTTTTTTTGGTATAATAAAAAATATTCGAAAAATACCTCAATATCGGTTGCACAGACTGTCTACACTAGCCATATTTTCCCGACATGGTTCATTTTTCGCTCGCAAAGCCTTCGCCGAACGTCGACGGGGCGACGCCGATTTTGCCCCGGTTGCTCATTGTATATCGTATTCTCTCTTTTATCTTCCACTCGCCGCGTTTGTCTCATTTGTTTTCTGTTTCTTTTTCTAAATCATCGGGGCCGATCGGGGCTAGCCCCGAAATTATGAACACACAATGCCGACGTTTCTTACAACAACGTGTTGACATATTCACGCATTCCTTCTCGTTCGTTGGTTGCTTGAAGAGTTGATAGTTTCCTCGCCTTCGTTTTTGTCGCTTGTTTCGCTATTTGAATCAGTTAGAGACCTTTAGTCCATTTGCTTTCGATTTTCCACATTCCTTTTGAGCTCCTCACTTCTTTCCGGCTTCGCATTTCTTAGCCTTAGACCTCATAATGAATAAGGTTGATGCACTACTTCGCACTCCGTTTTCGCAGCTGCAGCTGGAACAAAAATTAGAGGTACAACGTCTTGGGCCTTATCAACCAAAAAATTGTTCACTGGAACAATCTCATGACGGAGGAAAGCGTCGGCGTACATTCTGCGCAGAAACTTGGTATAAAAAAACACGAATGATTGTGTTACAGCGAGGACAAAAATGCACTTTTTTGTTTTTATTGCCTACTTTTTGCTACCGCCCGTGACTCACGTTGGTGTAAATTTGGTTTTAGAGATCTTAAACATCTTTCCGAGCGTGCCAGGGATCATCAATCTACTATGGAGCATCTGGACAATGCAGTAAAATACCGAACATTGGGAAATGTTAATATTGCAGCACAGTTGGATGAAGGACGCGCGGTTTCTATTCGTCGGCACAACCAAAACGTCGAGAAAAACCGCCATGTTCTCGGTCGATTGATAGATGTTTTGAAGTTCATTGGTTGTCACGAGCTGTCCCTCCGTGGGCACTATGAACGGGCTGGCTCTTCTAATAGAGGGGTATTTTTGGATATGGTGGAATACACCGCATCCCTAGATACAGTATTGAGAGATCATCTTGATGCCGCAACTGTTTCGAAAGGGACATCTAAGGATATCCAAAATGATTTGCTCGACTCAATGTATAAAATTATTTACAACATTTGGCTCTGGAAATTGAGAATTGCCAGTTCCTTTCGATTCAGTCTGACGAGACAACTGACATCACGTGCGTTTCCCAACTGGCTGTGATTTTTCGGTTTGTGAAAGCTGGTAAACCTACCGAGAGATTTCACAGCTTTGTACCAATCGTTGATCGCACGGCTTGCGGGATATCGGCTGTACTGAAAGAAGTGTTACAGCCTTACAACGCGAAGTCAAAATTGATAGCTCAAACTTATGGCGGCGCGGCGCGGCAAACATGGTGTTCAAGTTTATATAAAAGAAGATTTTCCCCATGTGCATTTTTTACATTGTTATGCACACCAATTTAACCTCGTTATTAAAAATATGTGTCTTGATACCCTTCTCGTCCGTATATTTTTTGCAAATGTTTCGGGGTTTTCTTCATTTTTTTCCGTTTCGCCGAAGCGCTCTGACCTCCTTCGCCAGATATGTAGCCGCCGTCTCCCAGCTTGTGCACCAAAACGTTGGAACTTCCAATCACGCGTGGTGCAGGGCGTGTCCGATATTAGGTCTGAGCTCATTGAGTGTTTCAATGGCATTCAAAGCTCTCCGGTTTGGGACGAACGCTCTGTGAGGGAGGCCGCAGGTCTAAAGCGTCTGCTAGAAGATGGTGAGTTTTCATTTTTTCTCGCTTTTTTCTCCACAATATTCTATCACGTGAATGTATTATACGCGAATTGCAGTCAAGGCTAATGGATGGAGCGTCTGTGCAGTCGTGTATTTCAGACTTCTGCAATGCTGTATCTCGTATCCGGGAAACAATAAAATACGACGACACATGGAGTGCTTCTTTACGCCGCGGGCAAACAACGCAGCGTTTGATTTTGTCTGCAAAGGAATGCTGTGACATTCTGGTGAAGCAATATGCGATCGTCTGCGCACTGAACACCTTGCCGCGTTCTCTTTGATGAACCCCAAAAATTTTTCAAAATTTGCACATCAATTTCCCATCCATTTGTTGGCTACTGTCTCCAAATTTTACCCCATGATAAACGTGGGTAAATTGGAAAATGAATTGCGATGTATATACACCAATCAGACTTTTTTGAACATCACATCAAATGGCGCGCTCTATGGGTTCCTCATAGATAACACTCTAGTAACTACCTTTGCGGCGTCTGCAAAATTTCTGGACATCATTTTGACGACGCCTATTTCTTCCGCCGACGCAGAGCGAACATTCAGCACGCTGAAGCGTTTTAAAACGTATCTCAGAAACACAATGAAGCAAGATAGATTAAATTCCTTGGCTGTTTATCCATTCACAGAGACGTTATTTCTGGGATGCATGACTTTAATCAGCGCGTTATTGAGCATTTTGCTTCCAAGAAACCGCGGCGTGTTGCATATATGTTCAAGCAGTAGAAGTCTAGCAGCATATATATCTATGAGTGAGCGACGCATGTCCTTATCTTTGCATTAACTTTCCTTTCTTCATAGTAACGTTTTAAACCTTATTTTAGGTTTTGTCTGCTTTCCCGAAGTTTCTGTTAATATGTCATTGTATTTATCTGGGTAAATATTGCCTTTCCTTTTGAAAGAGGTTTCAAAATAAACTATGTCTATGTTTATTAATCCCTTGACTTGGACCGGTTTTAAAGACACTTTCTTATCGTTAAAAATTGTCGCTTTTGCCGATTGGTTGTTACCGATGGAATGGTTTTTATACTCATAAAATGATGGGAGAACTTACAGCGCTCATCCTGTCCCCGTAGATGGGGGTGACTTGGTCCCGCAGTAGCTTGCCCCGGTTGTCAAAATGACCACGCGCCGCCACTGAGCAGCAGTATAGCAATTTGTATTTACCGCACCCTGGATATAGTGGTGGATTTAAAGTAACCAAATATCTCTACCGTGCAACGTCGAAATAGTTAGATGAAACGTGCTTACCACACGACCACTGGACAAAAAACGAAGGTACTCACATATAGTGCGTGTACCAGGTTAGGGTTAGGCCATAATGTTATTCTCTTTTTCTTATTAATTTAGTTCAACTAGGAGTTCGGGACTGTCTGTGTTAGCCAAGTGAATTCCCTTTGGTACACACTTCTGCAGTGCCAAATGAACGTATTTTACAACGAAGATGGAATTCGTAAAATCATTGTAAAACGATGAATTTTACTTAAACAAGTTTTTTGATCCAGATTTGGAATCTAGTTTGTTATGTCATTATCACTGTTTAAGCTCGTGTTTATCCTAGCATTTCGATTATATAAGTATCTCAATTATACGTACCGGTGTTAGGATTACATATACGCTAAAATTTGGTTTTCAGCCATGAAAGAAAGGTTCGAAGACTCGTATTTCTGTATTGAAAAGAATCAAACTTCAGCGATTTGTCTTCTTTGCCAACGAACTACCAGCCCGCGAACTTCCTCCCGATTCTAATTTTGGCCCGCGGCCAATGAAGTTTTTAAACCCATGTTCTATATGATTCATAATATGACGGATAATAATTATAATTACGGTTGATTAGAGTTCATCATTTTTACGTTCAAATTCGTTATTAATATATAAATATGATTTGAATTCTGCGAGGCTATCTCATGGAGGGTATAGCCATGATGTTTTGTCGAGGAAGCGAAATGCTAGTACACAAAATGATATTCCTTCAAATGAAGTTTTGAATAGTAAAAGGCTGTCAAACTATTAAATTATATAAAAGTATATGCCATCGGGTTAAAACTAAACTTTTAGTAATTGAATTCTTAGGTTTCCATACATTCTTCACGAGACTGAATACAGGCGTACAGATTGAAGGTGCTTACATGTAACAAAATGCTGATAAAGGCAAGTATTTGATATGGCGCTATTTTAGTAACGCAATATATTTGAAAATAAAATACCCAACACAGGCTGGGAGAGTTGAGACGATTGCAAAACTCCTACATATTTGCATGCGTTTAAAATAAGAATGATTCAGGGTACTCATAAAGTCCCGTTACTATATTAATTTTTTCATGGTTTGTGCTATTATTATTCCGTGTTTATTTTATTTTTATTTTATAAAACATCGATCCGTAAGAGCCATAAAACTATATAGGGTATCGATAACTTCTTTTTACAATTTGAAAAGTATCAATACTTTATGAACAATTTTATTCAATTATCCTAACATACTTGCTTGCCGCGCTGTTAATTCTAATATAAATTTATTTTTATAAAGTTGACAGATATTAGGGATACAAAAAGTAACTTAAAAAACAACAACTGAGAAATGAAGTTAATAAGTATTTTGCTTTTTATTGTCTTGCCTGGAGCCTATACTCAAGATTCGGCAATACAAAATGGAGATTGCGAAGGTAAAACTGTAACAATTTCCAATAGTATGTTAATTACTAGACATCTAGGGCAGGGATGTGCAACCTGTGACCGCCCACAAGAAAAAATGCGGCATGCGGAAACGTGCCAATTTCGATTAAAATTTTAATTCAGTTCAATCTGGTACGTGCGAGTAATCCCAGTCCCATTACGTTGCAAATCCCATGACCGAGTCCAATTTTGATGACGTTTCAATGCGTTACAAACAAAAAAGAACAACGCATATCATAAGATCAATAACCAAACGTTTTGTGCCTGCAACTAATTGAAGGCCTTTGATAAATAAAGGTGCGGCCCGCGGTTTCTACGAGTTATTTGAATGCGCCTTCCTGTATTGAAGGTTGTACACCCCTGATCTAGCTCATATATTTTACACGACGGCTATTCACTTATTTTACTCGTCACAAGACCCTGTACTAGAAACCACAGATAGATCGCTTTGCTAAATTCTTGTTGTTGTCTTTGAGGTAACTATTGATGTCGTTTTTTTTTAAACAAAGCGACCAATTGATATTAACTTTAACAGTATTTACTAGTTCAAGCAGGTACAAGACCTAATTTTTTTTCAAGTTAGGTTCAAATTCACGGGTTCTATAGGATCGATACGTCAGCAAAAAAATTCTGTTTTATTTTAATGACGGGAACATTCTTTATTAAATAAGGTGACACACTTGTTCGCCTGCGTTACGTTTACACAAACTAAAATCTGTTAAGCAATCTTGACGCTCAGTAAGGCCTAAGGCCATAGCCCGCCTTGGAAATGCGTACAAGCACTATATCAATATTTTTCTAGTATTCCTCTTGTTTACGAACGCAGGATGTATGTTAAAGGGATTTTCATGCTGCTACCATCCTTGATTTTCTCTTTCGCCTTTCCTTAATTTCATCGTTGTTTGAAGATTCCTTGTTTATTGTTCAGTTTGTTTTTCAGACGCATTAGGTACCATTTCCGCATCATCAGACGAAAATTATGATGAGAATGACAATAATTGTAAAGAATTTTACTTTGATGCCGTAAGTTACTATATTTAACATATTTTATGCGACACACACGAACTCTGCTAGATTAGGAGGTTAATTAAGTAGTCAGGCAATGTTAGCAATTAGGTTTGAAATATTTCAAATATGAGCAAATTTGATGTGGCTGTTTAAATTAGTTACTGAATCGGTACCGATATAAATTTTTTAGTCTCGGAAAAAATACGAAATAACCCGTATGTTAAGTTTTGTTAATGGACCTCGGGGACACGAAGCAGGGAGAAACACAAGACCAGAAAAGCTTCATTAAATTGCCAATATGATTATGATAAATCGCGAAATGGGCGTGATGGGCATGGATTTCCAATTAGAAGTCTTCTCCGCGAAAGGTTGTATGTTGTCATGAATATGAATTGAATTGTAACACGAGAGTGCGTTAATACACGATAGTGTGAATACCAGTTGACGCAACAACGATTACGTCAAATTACGCATCATATGACGCAATCTTTCCGCCTAATCAACTTCATTGATATCCCAGTAAACTTCTATTCAACATAGGCAATGCTATACCATCGACAAATAACGCCTTTCAAAGCGTTAGATTCCGTGATAAACATAACTGATATATGATTGAATATTTTACATATTGTATTGAATATAAATGTTTTATTGTTTCCTATCTTAAATGCTGTGCATACGAATCAATAAATTCATTTCAGCTTCTATGAACAGCCACGTAACTGTTAAGTAAGAATAGGGATTGACACTAATTACTACAATTTATGTATCGACTGAACCTAGTTTAGCGAACATAAGTGATTTTTTGTTAGTTGGAAGGGTTGACCTTTTGCCTTTTATTTTTAGTTCTTCATGTTTACAAGCTTCCAAAGGCATAAAGTACACATTAACTAATAAAAATTGAGTTTTATTTAAAAGCAGCAATTTTATTTTTGTGTAAGTGCGCTGTGCGTTTTTTCCCTGATAATTTGGCGCTTAATTAAACCTACTTAATTTGACCTACTTAATTAAACTTTTTCTTTTTATTCTGACAGGAAAATCTGGGAGGTGAGTGTGTGTATGTGTATTGATAATATCGTTATCTGAAATGAAGCCTTTTGGTTATGAAGTCCAAAAAGGGTACTCTCTTAGTATGTACACCGGGTTAGGGTTAGGCCCTAATTTTATTCCGATTTTCCTTATTTTAGTTAGTTCTATTACGAGTTCGAAGACTGTTTGTGTTAGCCAAGTGAATATACCCCCTGACCATAGGTTTCAGTCCCTTTCCAACTTGGTATAGAATAGGCGAATAAAATTAGTAACCTCCATATTGGTATACACACTTCTGGAGCGCCAAAAATGTGATCTTATTTTACTGAAAATTATGCTGTTTGCTTTAACAAAACCCCTCAAAACGTTGAGTAATGTCACGTAAAGAACTCCTCGTATAGACATATTTGCAATTCAGTTTATGTTATTCAAATGAAGAAGTGTTACGTGTTAATATACGCGAAGTGTACATATGGGTCGAACTGCTAATTTTTTTTTATTGCTGTATAATAATATATTTTCTTTGCAAATAGACAATTCGATTTCAAATTTGCAGTACGTTGAGGTGGTTGAAGTCCTCATGAAAGTATTTTTTTTTTAAATCTTTACGAGTCTAATTTTTCACGATTTGGTATTTTATTTTGATTCATGGGAACAGCCCTATATGGGAACAAATTTATTTTATCTTCGTGTCCATCAATTCAAGCATTGCTCAGCTGATTTTAGTTTCATTGCAGCAAATAATTCTACTGGCTTTTATTACTCAACGGGCTCAAAATAGAGTTATTCCTCGTTTTTGCAATAATTAAACAAACAAAATTGCGTTGTTGCATATATTCACTGCTCGTGCTGTGTGCAACTCTTTATATTAATAGCCTGATTCATACAACGCAACAATTAGGTCATATTTCCTTGTTAGATCATTTGTCTTTGATTTAAAATATATTTCACAGTTGTTTGCTATTATCCTTTCTATATGATTTTATGAGTGATGCTGCTCGATAACCATCACTGGTTTATCGCGTTACCAATTCACAGAGAAATGCCCTTTTTATCTTTTTTAATTATGTTTGTACAATGTGTACTTTCGGTATGTGATAAAATGAACTACTGAATCACTTATTCCTCTGAACATAACCAAATGTTTCAGTGGTTTGAATGAAATTGGCTTCTGTCCTGCAATTTTTCCAAAATTTAATGTTTTGATCCACAAACAGTAAAAAAGTAATTGGCGTTGGCGTCACATCAGCGAAAATACCAGAACTGGTTTTAACGAAAATTTCAAATACAATTCTATATCCCTAGCAGTCGGTATACCTGTTGCACTTCATCGACGATTTCACTATTTTTAGTAATATATCATATTTCTCCCTTTGCAGTTTTGCTAAATTTCTGGTTTCGCTGGCAGATTTTACATCTTCATAACAACTAATATCTTTGATTGAAATTGATTTATATTTTTTTAGACCTCGAACGAGAAGTCGCAGCCTACGTTGAAAGTCAGTTAGTCAATGATCTGAATGGCGTCACCACTGAAGCAATGGATGAATCTATTGCTACAACTACGGAAGCAATGGATGAATCTATTGCTACAACCACTGAAGCAATGGATGAATCTATTGCTACAACCACTGAAGCAATGGATGAATCTATTGCTACAACCACGGAAGCAATGGATGAATCTATTGCTACAACCACGGAAGCAATGGATGAATCTATTGCTACAACGTTATTCATACAAACATCTACATCTATTGATACCACTGAATCATACGATAACAACAAAAGTATGTTAGGAATGCCTATAGTTTACTGCAGGGCTGGGCAATTATTTTTTCTATCGGGCCACAGTGAATATTCAAAATGCAGTGGCGGGCCAGACTGAGTAAAGTCAACATATATTGCGCGTTTTTGTCGTATTTTATTACACATTTAAATAAAACAAAGTACTATATCTATTGTACTGCGGATATAAAAATGTGAGATAAACTACCGGAATATACTTGATTTTGATGCCTTTTTTTGCTATACGGCTTATTTAAGATGTCTTGCTTTATTGCTCTCAACTTAACCGCGGCTGCTTTGATAAAATATAAGCATTACTGCTATGAAATACCACCGCAACCCGCGGGCATAAAAATTTGACTTAAATTCCCGGATCATATATATTCGTGTTTTGTCATTTCGCGAATTCGCCAAATCTGATTCGTTCTTACAAAACCGACTTCACTCTGTTTTAAAGATTTTACCGCTAGAAAAATCCTTACGTCTGTGATAAAACCACGCCGCGTAAAATTGATTTTAGTAGGATACCATGAAAATGGATTGAATTTAATTCACATTAATTATCTATATGTGAGGCCCGTCGGTGTTTAGAATTTAGATGTAGAATTGATAGCTTTGGAACTGATCAAAAGATACATCGCGCCCACAATCGACGGTCTTTCAATTTCAGTCATAGTATGGTTTCGAGGGCGCATGGAATTTTTCAGTTTCTAATTTCTACAACAGCGTTTTTAATCTGTCGCAAGCCTCCTAAATCAAAACATATATCGCTTCTGTTTATTTTTTAGTATGTTATATGGTCGCACTTTTATCTATGAGGTTGGTTGCAGCTTCACTCCTTCAATTACTTTCAGCATCTCGTCGCCGATAATTATATAATAACTCGTTTTTCTAGATCTAGAAATCTGGTCGCGGGCCGAATAAAACGTTGCCGCGGGCCGGATGTGGCCCGCGGACCGCAACTTGCCCAGGCCTGGTTTACTGGGTACTCCCGTAGTATGTGAACGAAGATGACGGGCACCGGAGCAGAGTATGTGTACCAGATCAGGTTTTGGCCATAATTTAAGGTACAAAAATTACAGGAGTTACTTGGCTAGTGCTTATAATATACCTTAATGAATATAATAATGAAAATGGAAATAAAATTATGTCCTAACCTTAACCTGGTACACATACTACATAACGTTCGCTAATAGAAATCTTTACAATAAATGATATATCTGACTCAGCGTAGTTCCAACTCTATGTAGTGTATACCAGGTCATTCACAAAGTACTGTCCATCGAAGCACAATTTCCGCTTTTGATTGCACACTGATACTTAAGTTCTATTAATTCCAATACACGATTCCAATTCATTTATCTTAAAAATGGTTGATTTTAAAATTGGCGCTCCAGAAGCGTGTGTACCAATATGGAAGTAACTAATTTTGTTTGCCTACTTTACAGCATGTTGTGTAAAGGGCCTGAAACCTACTGGCAGGGTGTATATTCAATTGGCTAACACGGACAGTCTCCGAACTCATAAACTAAAACAAGGAAAATAGGAATAAAATTTCAATGCCCCAATCCTAAACTGGTACACGTACTACGGGAGTACCTTGAATTTAGCTGAAATAAAACCGTAGCTGTGCTGAACTAGTGAAAAAATAGATTTGTTGGTTACCTTTAATTCTTCATGCTATTGAAAATTTAATTATAATGTCATTTGTTTCAGAATGTCCCCAGTATACAATTGGTTTTCCTAACAGACGTCAGATACAAGATTACGTCGTCGTAAACGCATCAATCCCGGATATGACCGAAGTCACCGTCTGTGCTTGGGTATCTCCGATTTATGGCCAACATGTAGATGGCGCCGTGTTCAGCTATGCAACACCTGGCAGTGATAACACTTTACTAATCGAATTTGAGCCAGAACTGAGCGTTTATTTATATTCAAAGAGGTTGACTTTAGATGAAATTGGGAACCAAAACGAAAATCATATATGCGTTGTTGTTTCCACAATAAATAACACTGTTCATCTATATCTCAACGGATCCAAACATTCACGTAAAACATTGACCCATGAAATTACCAAAATCAAAGGTCAAGGAACTGTGGTACTTGGGCAAGATCAGGATGAAAAACTGGGTGGATTTCAAGCCGAAGATTCTTTCCTCGGTGTCATAAAGAATTGCATGCTCTGGAATCGCACTTTAACTTCCAGAGAAATTGAAGATATGCAGAATGATTGCAACTGTCCAAAAGATTACATTCTGTCTGCCACAAAAAATGACCACATAGTCGGAAACGTGACTTCTGAATTCTTCGATACATGCTGAAAAAGGTTCCATTACATTTGAACCCACGTACATTTGAACCCATGACAATTGCACCTGTATGGTATTGCACCTATGGAATTTTTTTTGTTTCACGGATAGTTAAACCCATACTAACCCTAACCCATGGGTTTAAGCACCCGCATATAGATTGAACCCGTGGATATACGCATGGGTTCAAATGTACATGGGTTCAAATGTACGGTCACCGCTGAAAAAGTATCATGTTGAATTTAAATTCGGCGCTCCAGAAGTGTGTGTACCAATGTGGAGGTAACCAATTTGTTCGCCTACTTTACATCAAGCTGTGTAAAGGAACTGAAGCCTACGGATAGGGGGTATATTCACTTGACTAACACAGACAGCCCAGATCTCGTAATAGAACCGAAAAAAGAAAAATCAGAATAGAATAATGCTTAAGCCTAACCTGGTACACCTACTACCGGAGTACCCGATAATCTGCTCGTCGTGTAACACAACATTTGGTTCATTAATATTTAAATAATTGATTGACTGTTTGTATTTTGAAATGTCTTTTAATAATATAAACGATTTTGAGTGTGTTAGCCTGGCCTTCTTTATCATAAGAAGTATTGTTCTCAGCGTCATACCAGCATTAGAGAGTCTTAGATAAGGTTTACATATACATTGTTTGGTCGTTCAAATGGAGCTTAGTACAAGAGGTTTTTTAGGTTTTTGTTAAAAATTTGAGCTTTTCAATTCGATACACAATTATAACAGAATAGATTGTTGCAGAAAATTGGTCTGATTCAAATACCGTTATTTTATTACATTTTCATAAACAAAGCAGGTTAGTGACTCACATAATCTAAGCGGAGAACTTAATATCGAAATGAGATAGACAATTTGTATAAACTATGGAGGTGGACCATATGCTGCTTTAATTAACCGGAAACTTTAAAAAATTTGTATATGACGGTATTTGGAAAGAACTTAGTACGCAGAATAATAACTAATATGTTGTCTTTGGGCGCAACATATGCAGTCGAGAGAAAATAGCAAGCAGCAAGGAACCGGTGTTAGTGGGTCATGAATCAAAATACTAATACTACAAAATACTACGTTCCGGTGTCCGCCATTTTACTTTGGTAGTACTATTAACTTTTGAACGAATAAATCAAATGATTTTGTTTTTATCTGAAAAAGTTTAACAGGCAAATATAACGGTAGTTTCGAGAATACGAGTGGTCATCACCCCGCGCTTGCGTGGTACAGAAAAATGCCTTTGATAGTTATATACAAACGCTATCAATATCAATCTTAATCCATTGCATTGGAACTAACATTAAAATAACATTAAAAAGCTATATACAACTTTTGGTACTCCCCTATTATGTGTACCAGTTTAGGGTTAGGCCATATGTTTATTCTGATTTTCTTTATTTTAGTTCCATTATGAGTTCGGGGACTGTCTGTGTTAGCCAAGAGAATAAACCCCCTACCCACAGGATTCTGTCCCCTTGAACAACTTGATGTAAAGTAGGCAAACAATATATTTACACCCATATTGGTACACGTACTACTTAAGCGTCCAATTCTTTTCTCATTTATTCATGTATCGTCCATGACTAAGATATAGAATTGAAGCAAAAAAGTTAATGATTTGATGAGAACTATGCAATAGTATTTTAACAATGCTACATTTTTGTAATTTTAGCAAAGCGCAATGATATTGCGTGATCACCAGGCTGACCGTTACAGCAATATTTGACCAAAGCAATTTTCCCATCGACGTTACTTCCATAAGGATATGGAGATAATTTGATGCGCCGTCGTAACTTTGGAATTGGAATGACGCACGAACCTATGCATTGAAGTTTATATACCGTACGCAATACCATGAGTAGCAATTTTTGCATTTAATTTAGATAAGATCGCGTAAAGATTAGTATTGCATATTCTTTAGCAATAGGTTTTTGCCAAACTGAAAAAAATAGGATAAAACAAACATTAATTGCACAATGCACTAATTTATTCTGACGCTCAATAGATTACGAATTAGGATGGAAAAATACTTATTGGCATTGAGACAGTCAGTCAATAGTTTATTTTATCACATACCAAAAGTACACAGTAGACAAAAATAAATACGAATCACATATAAGACAATACTTTCAGTGTGAAGGGAGGCGCGATAAACCAGAAGAGGTTATCGAGCAGCGTCACCCTGGGGGAGTGAGTCTAAAAATTAAATCATAGTGAGAAAAAAGTCAAATAGGATACTAGCAAAAGTCGTGAATAATAAATAAAATAATAAAGTCGAAGACGGCCTTTTTACACATTTAAGTGACCGATATCACGGTGTCACTCTAGTTAATATGAGAAAGCGACTCCAGACACCACTGGTCGAGGTAGCCATGGTAACAGCAGTTGGTTATTGAATAACAAACAGAAAGATAAAGTCGAGATAGTTATTCCAATCGAAAATTGCGGAAATAGTGTTATATTTTGACGCCGTACCGAGTACGGCATAGGAGGGTAGAGACCGCCGGAAAGTATAAGTGAATTCAGTAGCACTCAGAATTTGAGTGATTTTCAAATATAAGCTCGTAGGTCTCTACCGAAGCTGGAGGCAGATGTATACATGAAAATGGTGACAAAAATGGGCAAAAAAACAATAAAAGGTAAGCATTATTCTGGTAGATGCTAAAGCTATTAATCATAGGATGGATCCAGTACAAAAGCGCATGAGACAACAAAATGCACTAGAAATATACAAATTGGATGATGAGAACCACTATAGTACCGGTAAGGTATCATGCTATATTAGTTAAAATAAAGCTGCACTTAGTAAATACCAATAATTGATAATAGTATCTTAATAAATAACAACAAGAGAGCTACGCCACAAATATATGGACACGTTAGACCAGAGCGAATCAGTCTTTACCGGTACCTTTGACGCTACCGGTACCTCAAAAAAGTTCTGAATTTCCAGTAGCAAGAATTTTGCAGAATCAAAACGTACAGCCAGTCATGACACTGACTAAAATCCGTGTTCCCATGGATAAAAAATAATACAGCAAAATTTTAGACGAAATATCAAATTTCATAGAATTCACGCAAAATTTTGAAATAAATAAAAGTAATAGCCTTCTAGCGAAGAAATTAATCTTTAACCACTGAAAATTTCAAAGCAATTGGTCCAGTATTCGAAGAGAAAAGCGATTTTTTAAAAACGTGTCAAAGAACAAGAACAACAACAACAACAACAACAACAACAACATAATATTGAAACGATCGTTATGGCCACTAAACGTGTCCAATAATACGAGTTAACGCTTGTAGTATTAAGAGATAGTTGTTTATTAAGCGTTAACTCAAAGATAGGCACTTGTGTGTGACTGTATGACCACGGAAATCTGAGTTAGATTGGAGGTAAGAATACTGACGATAAATAAAGCAGTTCAAAAATTCTATAAGATTGCGCACATCAACATATATAGAGTAGAACGAGAATAGGGATGAATTATGATGATTCCACAGTAACATTGCAATATTTAAAATACAACAAGCATTTAACAGCAAATAAACAGGTCTCTTCATTACAGGCAGGCTGTGGATCGAGTTGAATATGACCTTGATGGACACAAAGCAAGGATAAAATATGAAACAGCGACTTGGAAAATTCAGGTGGGTTGGTAAGAGGAAATCAGGAATTTTTTATAATTAAATTTGAAAGTCATGTAAGATGACTCACGTAGGTCTTGGGGTAGACTAATCCAAATTGAAACACCTTGATATTTCAAAGAATTTTGGGATTTGCTTAGTGAGAAGCGAGGTACAAAACAATTACTCTTTGTTGAGGAGCGGGTGTTATATTTATGCACTGAACTTAGGGTGAGAAAATACTGGTCGAAAGCCGCTGGCAATTGATTGTTTCGGAATTGGTGCATAATCTTAGAAATTTCTAGTTTGTAGATGTCATGTAATTTTAGTACTCTATGCTTATAATATAGATTGTTTTAATTGGAACGTAAAGGTGCCCAAGAAAGGATTCTAATGGCCCTATTTTGTAAGACTTCCAATTTACGCATGTTAACTTTAGCTGTAGAACCCCATGCCGCTATGGCATACTGAATGTGGGCCTGGAAAAGTGCGAAGTAAATGGTTCTTATTGTGGTATCCTGTAAGTAATATCTAAGCTTACCCAGGATCCCTACCTATATTGTAGATATTTCATCAAACATCTGTATACACTTCGTCTGATCATCCTGTAGATTTCTTAGTTTTGAACACCTCCTCATAGAGTCATTGAGATAGCTTTGGTTCCAACTGTCTTAGCGTTTCGGCATAGTATTCACAATTTTTAGAGCATTATAGATACAATGTCGTATGAGTTCTTAATCCACTGCATAGCTAATTAACCATTCTTTATTTAAGGCATGAAAAATACAAAGATACGGTTACTGCGTTTTCAATCGGAGTCGGGAATGGAATATCTTCAAACGAATTACGAACGATCGCAAACGGTGGCACGGGAGACGACAGGGTTTTTACTTTTAGTGGTTTCAATGAATTGCAAAAGCATTCTTCAGATTTGATAACTGTTCTCATTATTTCGGCAGGTAGGTCCATGTCATTTACTGATATGAATTTTGCTTTAAGGTGAACCGAAATAACCACAACAAACAATTGAAATCGGATACGAACAAAAACCTTCGAATAAGAAAATATTGAAGAATGTATTTAAATTATTAAGTGCTGTTATTCGATAACATTTTTGCCCATATATCTATAGGGAATTGTTTGGGTATGGATTTGTAACCCTCATGCTGATGTAGTGACTTAGCCTTTTCTAAAAGTTAATTAAACTTGCTTAGATCTGATATGGAGTTCATGGTCATCTTGCTCAACATCTTGTTCACCTGGTATTCAGATGCGAACAATTACTTTCCGCAATACAACGAGAACACTAAATGGAAGCGCCATTGTTAATCAGGTAAACAAATTTGAATTATGTGTAGAGATATTCTAGATTAGTTTTTGAATAAAATTGAATCAAGAATTTTGTTGCTCCTGTACACTTATAAATCTTATTAAATACTACAGCAAAGTTTTTTTTCATTCAAACACGTATAATAAGGGAAAAATATAGATAATTAAATTGGTAATGTTATTATTTATTAGCCAAATATCCGTAATGAAAATATTGGGCGGTTTCCGAAAACGACCTGAACAAGATGTTGCTTTGAAGTCATGTCTTGCGTACAAAATCAAGATAGCATTCAAAGTTAGCAAAAAAAACAAAACTATTGAAACGCTTCATGACTCAAATAAAACAATCTGCCCATTTTGAGTCACGAATCAAATTAGTTTTCGCATTTCGGATATCATCCATATTATAATATTAAATAGCACTGTTAAAAACTTGTATTAATACAGTTGCATGGGTGAAATCACATATTTGATATCCATCAGAGCTGTATTTTATTACACACAGACAAAAGCATGCAACGAAGATTTGTGCTCGCTCTACTATGACAATGACTTGCGATGTGCAGGCTCTGGTATCATTCCCAACCAGTGCTCTGTGGATGTATTCAGAAAATGTCTGCTGAAGAATGTTAATTGGGACGAAATAGGACAAGATGAAAGTAAGTGTTTTATGTTTCGATGGGGCAATTTAACAATTAAAATCATCAAATGAAAACAAAAATATTTAAACTAGTAAAAGAGGATAGAAATTTAAACAATCCGAATGATTCATCAATTTAATTAATATTCTTGTTTTCAGAAATATTTGAATCACCAGTTAAAGGACTGAGAATGAAACTCAAACAAATCAAATCACCAGGAATGAACATAAAATTAGTGAATATAGAAAGATATGACGCCATGAAGCCTTAGGAAGACCATGACATGAATATAAAGTTGTATTAAAACTGCTCATTCGATAAATATTCATAACCATGTTAATATTTTCCACTGATTATGTTTCAGCAGTCTGAAAACGTTTGTACTTTTGCATTTCTGTTACGACTCTAAAAAGTTTACAAGTTTTTCATTTGTCTTATGATATTTCGTTTTCCCATAAGTAAACTATTTTGCAAGAAATTATATGAATAATATATATATATACATCTGTTCATTTATTTCAACATGTTATCCATTAAACAATGACAGTGTATCCACTGATAATGCTCCAGCAGTTTGAAAATGTGTGTATTTCTTCGTATTCTATTACAAATGAATAAACTATGTATAAACTATTTTATTGTATAAATTAACAATTTGCTATATTGTTATTCTTCATTGTATGCGGACTTTTCGCTATCCCATTGGTAAACTACTTTGCGTGGAATTGGTTTATTTTCAACGAATGATATTTATTGGGGATATTTTGTTCTTGCTTTTTAATCATCATTTGTACATGTTTGATTTAATTTTTGGACAGAATAAAAAAAATAAAAAAAAATTAAATGATTTGCATGAAGTCTGCTGTAAACATTTACAGCCATTGGGGTTGGGGCGCATTATGTAATTCTGTTGCCAAATACATTCTGTATCGTGTTAATCAGTTGTCTGAAAACGGTATTTACCACTTGGTCAAATATACACATTTCGGTAGTGTGCGTACGCAATCATTTTCGACTATGAACAATCGCAGCATTAAATTATATGACGCACTTGCGCCTCCTGTTCCTGCGCTGAACACCTGTCTCAGTAAAATATGTATGTAACTGTTTCTGATCTATTATCAACAATTAATTTTTTTATCTACTTATCAGCAATGTGAAGGATAATACGGGCCGACCCCGGAATAAAAATGTTCAGTTATATTCAATGCTCATAATACGATCCCAAGCTTTTAATTTCTTCTGCAAAACTCAAAATTCAGAATCGTTTTATTCAACTTTATATTCAAACTCATATCGTTCTATGTAAGCATCATAACTGTAAAAATAGGACGATTTACAATGCTGTCCACGCATTATATACCTGCGCCTAAGGATTGAGTCTGAATTTTCGATACGCACCATTTTTAAGGTTACCGGAGTTGTTGATTAAGACAATTTTATTTGAAAAAACTATCATAATTTAAATACACTGACATGATAGACGAGTAATTGAACTTATTCAAAAAATTGCATAATTTACATTCAAGTTTTGAATTTTATTTGAATTGGAAATATCTACAGATTTTGCGCAAAAAAATCTACATGCCAAGTTGTTATATTAGCTGTCTCTGAGTTATAATTATTCATACTTCACTGCCAACTTTCTTTAAAACTTAGATCTCAATATGATTGAATATTGTTTGCTTTTAATGTATCACTAGATAAAAACATTGGAATTCACTAAAACTCAAACGTCTCGAATATAACAAAATTTATTAACATCTCTTACCAATATTATAAACATCTCATTTACTTCCGACGACCTTGGATGATTATACTATAACGGAAAATTTTCAAAATGGAACCCTTTATATATATAAACTGTGAGTGGTTTTCCAAGTTTTTAGTAGATTGAAGCGTGAATGAAACATACCAGAACCCAAGTAAAATAGTTTGTCTCTTTCGCTTTGATCTGTAAAGACTAAAAATATATATATATATATATAAGCAAAACTAATACGGGCAAATCAAATGGCAACCCTAAAAGGCATATGATTATATTTGGAAATTATACATTTATCAATATAAACCTTACGATTTGAATAGAAACCACTGGAGTGTACGTGCGGAACCCCGAGATGCCGCAAAAGCCCGACAGAAAATAACTGTCGTAAATCATTATCTTATAATCAAGATGAAAATAAATTTGAATTAATTTATATTAAATGGATATCATAAAGCTGTGATCTTGTGTAAACTGATGTACAGCAGTATAATGCGGATTTTTAAAATAGTGAAAATAATGTTAGCGTATATTGTGCTCATAGCCCACACGTCATTTTGCGTCTATAGATAATGTATCAGGACGTGACTCGTGGTATTGACGGGAAATTGTTAAACAGCCCACATATCAAGTGTGTTGTTAGTTGATTTAAATTGAATCTGAATAATTCGTTACTGATGACCAAGATTGAGCCCAGAGTTCGAAGGAAATAGCACAATAATAGACGAGGTACCGAGCAATAAGAAAATCGTACTGCTGATCAATGGCGCCAATAGCTCCAAAGAACAATTTCATAAAATGCTTTATATTAGAATAATACAGATGTTATTGAAAATTTGTTGTTAAAGCTACCAGAGGTGACTAACCTGCGGCCAGAGGGACCGCCAAAGAAATTTTGCGGCCCGTGAAACATTCAGGCGTCAGAGTATATGTTTGGATTGAAGCCATGAACTTTTAAAGACTGTACAGGGAAAACGGGAGCGGCAGTATTCTTAATTCAACTGGCGACGATATTTCCGATACATTTATTTTTGTTAGATTATGGACATCTTTAACGATGGTTCAAAATGACCATTGTCTTAGCATAGTTACGCTGTCTTATTGGCAAACGAACAAAAAATAATGGAGAAGAAGTAAACTTACTTTGTGAAAATGTAATGTTTCGGAGCACGATACACGGAATATTTGAAAGTAATAAAAATTTTACAACATCAGCTCAAGGATAAAAAAATGAAAGATCTTTAAAAATGACTAAGTTATAAACAGGTCACGTTTAAAAATACCTAATTAGCAATTATACGGTTGGGTTTAGGATTGTGAATGATGTGAAAATTTTATTTTTTGGCCCAATCTGCATTCTTATTCCTCCCCATATCGCCGTAACTCCATTATTTCGATTTTTATTTTGATGCAGGCGGTGGTGATTTTCATGGCGGGGGCTATGTACAATAAATTACGAAATACTTTTTATGAGGCATTATTAACTAGAGTTTTGGGTACTCCCCTAGTGTGTGTACAAGTTAAGGGTTAAACCATAATTTTATTCCGATTTTCCTTAAATCTACGAGAAAATCTCAAACTGTAAAAGTTATTTTGGTACAAATAATAAATAATTAGACCTACTTTACATTGATTAGCAGCCATAATTCAAAATTACATATATATTCATCGATTCTAAATCTCCACGGAATGACTTTTGAAGCATAACGAAAATAGGTATATTTTGTGATTCTCCATTGACATCGTGTCAACAACCTTGATCAATCATCAGATCTATAAAACAAATATTTTAATCTGATCTGATAATCGGATCCTCCATAGATTACGAATTAGGATGAAAAAATACGTTATTGGCATTGAGATTCTTCAGTAATCTTTTTTTTAATGTTTTCCCATATTCTGAAGCGTCAAGGATCAAAAGGAGGTGCTTGTTATACTGACAAATTAAAGATGGAAGAGTTGATAATGAGCTGGAGTGACCATTGATACTTCAATGTCTTATTAATAATTTAATGCGAGTAGTGATGCTCGTGTTATATTCAAACATTTTTACCTGAACCTTCATACATTTAACGTAATGTAAACATCAATTATAGCTTTTTAAAACTTTAAAATATTCTGTCACCAAAGCACCTGATACACATACTATGAATGTACCCGATAATCTGATCCTCGTATAGAACAACATTTGGTTCAATAATATTCGAATAAATGTTTGACTGTTTGTAAATTGATATATCTGTTAATAATAAAAACGAGCTTGAGTGTGTTAGCCTGGCCTTGTTTTTTCTCACAGTGTTCATAATTTGCGTATATAACATATATATAAGTATTGATCACCAGCATAGGGATAGTATGATAAGCAGTTTCAAGTTCATTAATGTAATGTGAACATCAATATTATAAATATTTATAACTTTAAATTATTCATTCATCAATGCATCGATTTTTGTCGTGCCAACGTAACAACATTTTATATGTTTGGATGGCTATTTGAATAGCTTCATAGAAATTTTTTTTGCCTTTTTAAAGATTGCTAAACGTTAATCTATATTCTATTTATCCGTCTTATTTAGTATATTTTGTTGTTCTATAACAGAAGAATTTGTTAAAATGTGTTTTTCACATTGAAATACTTACTTGTCAAAATTTGTTAACAATGCTCATCATCAAAGTAATTGTATTTCTTATTTTCATTGGTGGATCATTGACAACGCAGCAAATTGGTAAGTTTCAAGGTTTGCTTGGGATGAACTATTTTGACATGCAGCTGCATATTTGTATAGATACTGAATGTAACAATATTGTGACATTTTAACTAAGTGCGTCCTACCAAGGAAATAATTAGAGCGCTATGAATCGTTTTGCATGTCTGAGAAAATTCAAATATTTTTGAAATCGAAACATTAATTCATTAATTATAATTATTAGTTTGAAAACGATTGTATATAATATTTGTTTTATAGTAAAGGGAAATTGTATCACATCATTCACTATTCTTTAAGATTTTTTATGTAATAAAAACCAGAAATACGAATTATAGCATATTCTTTATGTTTTATTTATTATATTGTAGCTCAGAAGAAAGCATTGCTTGAAATAATCTTTGTAGTTGATGGATCGGGATCAATTAGAAAAGAAAAATTTGCAATAGTGAGGGAATGGCTTGTAAACAAAACAGTAAAAATATAGGAAGCTTTTGGAGACTCTGCACATGTTGAAGTATTACAATTTTCAGACAAGGACTTTCCCTGGGACGGGTATTATGTGCCTTTACTATTTTATTTATATATCGGATAATATCACTCTCGTGTATAACAATCTCGTGTAATTTAAACCTCTTAAATTTACTGACTTGTTGAATAGTAAAAATGGTGACCAATTCAAAATACCGAAATGAATATTAATAGAAAATAAATTTCGATGAATATTGACGTTCGCTTAGGTTTTAGTTTAGATTAATTCTATGACAATTACTTCTAGGGTTTCCATTGAAGATTCAAAAAAGTTTGTTATTCCATTTGTGCTGGGAGAATGCGTGAATAATGTATCCTGTTTCACACCAAGGATTATGAACATGCCATACTTGAATTCGGCAACTTATACTCACTATGCACTAAGGAGAGTAATGGAGGTTAGTTGAGTTGTGTAATGGAAGAAGAATATGTAGGGACAAACTCTGATGTTTTCCATATCAATGACTAGCAAGGACAGTTTATTGGTGTAACGTTGTAACAACGTAAATTTAAAGAATTTACATCGCTAGCTTAATATTATACTTAGATTAGAGCTAAGATCTGAAGCCCGCCCGACTCAAAATTTTATTGAAATGTCAATCATTGCGTTCTGGTCGGGATGGGTCGGGCCGACCTTTGACCTCCGAAAATATTTTTCCTATACTTTAACATTACAAAATTTTTAGGGCATATTTTATTTTAAGAATGGCTTCGAGTAAAATGGGGTATTTATTTCCAACCATCATTATAATTCATCGCATACAACAATCTGTTTTTTAAAAGTACCGGTAAAGAATTTTAGTCTAGTCTATCACAGCAATTTCTAATGAGACATTTGACACGCGTTCTACAAAGCTTTTCTATGGTAATATGTGTGTCGCTAGAGAATTTCTTAGTTTTCCAGCAAAACTGCAGTTACTCCTCTATCCATTAGCCCCGCATTGTCAAATGGATGTGCAGATTACAGAGCTCACAAAATACAAAAGAAAAAATGTGTCCCAACATTCCCCACTTTCCCATATACTGTACTAAACTCTTGACAATTTGAAGAACTCCTAAATAAAATATGAAATTTTGTCTGCTTCGGGCTTGGGTCGGGCCTTCAAATCCAGTTAATTGGTCGGGTCGGGCTCGCAAATCCAGTGAATTAGTCGGGGACGGGCCAGCAAATCCAGTTAATAAGTCGGGCTCGGGTCGAGTCAGGTTTAATACCCACGGGCCCGTGTCGGGTCGGGCTGGAATTTTTATGCCCGATCTTACCTCTACACGCGATAACATATTTTTCCTGATGCTTACAACCATTTTACACGAGTTTTGTTAAATATTATTTCAGTCATTCGTTTAGAGACAGTGATTGAACCATCGTCTAGCGGTTTTATTTGAAATTTTGGTGACAGCTTTTTTTGATATTTTAGCTTCAATGATACGCGTTTCCTTTGCCATCAACTCCACGTTACAAGCTGTTTATTCAAGCCGGCAAGCGGCAATGACATCAAAATTATTGATCTATTTCCGAACATTCACATATTTATATGCAGGTGGAATTTCCAAAATCTCGGAATTTAAACATTTCCAAGAAAGCAGTGATTGTGGTGACTGATGGTGAAGCGAATGATGGTGCTAAACTTCGTGATTGGTATGTAACATAGTTGCTAATTGATAATTTGTAAACTAGCGTTGACATAACCCAATTAAGATGATATATTATATAATTTATTTTATTAGTAAACATATTCACCAAATGTGGATTGAACATTTGCCGCAATTTATTGAATTCCATTTTTTAACTATTTGTTTTAACACGATCCGGAGAACTGAGTTTTATTCTTGCCAGCTTCGTTGTTTGATATGTTCTAAGTCAGAACGTTTCTTTGAGATATACACAATTTTTAACCCTTGATAAAATGCGTTAGAGGATGGAAAAATAGGTAGTAAAATAAAAATAAAATGTCCGAGTCAAGAAATTTAACAACAATTCTAAAATGTAATTATAGCATACTAAGGTAACTGTGTTAACCGATAATCTATTCTGTTTCAAGGCATTACAAATACAAAGATGTAGTGACAACGATTGTAGTAGGAGTTGGACAAGATGGAAAGTTTTTGAACCAATTGCAAAATATCGCAAACGGTGGCACGGGAAACGACAGAGTATTTACCTATCAGGATTTCAGTGCACTACGTGAAAATTCTTCCGATATTATTACTGCTCTCACCAATTCAATAAGTACGTCATTATATCTATCGGTCATTATTCTTTTGTCGTATACACGAAGTTGCCCTCATGCTGATACAGTGCATGATTTAGCTTTGTTTAAATGTTTATTAACGTTCCAATTGCTAATTTTTGCCTAGACCTGGTATGGAGTTTCTGGTCGCCGTGTTCAGCATCGTGTTCACCTGGTATTCAAATGCGAACAAAGACGTTTAAAAATGCTACAAGGACATTGAGTGGAAGTGCATTTATAAATCAGGTAATCCAATTTGCAGCATATGGGGAGTTATTCTAAATTAGTTTATTAAATGAAATGAAACAATAGTGTAGCCGATGTTTATTTAGAAATCTCATTATTCCGCAAAAAAAAAATTTATTCAAACGGTCAATACGTATGCAAAAAGAAGACAAATAAAGTATTAAAATATTATTAGTATCTAATTATGTAAAGATTGCACAGAATAAATAAGACTAAAGAAACGTTTCATGATTCGAATAGAACAATCTGTCCAATCTAAGTCACGAGCTGCATATCAAATCAATTTCCGCAATCTGGATATCATTCATATAATGATATTAAATTGCACTGTTAAAAACAAGTAGTAGTACAGTTGGATGGATGAAATCGCATATTTGATACCCGATGAAGGTATGTTTTATTACACACAGACAAAAGCATGCAACGAAGATTTGTGCGCGCTCTACTATGACAATGACTTGCGATGTGCAGGCCCTGGTATCATTCCTACCCAGTGCTCTGTGGATGCATTCAGAAAATTTCTACTGAAGAATGTTAATTGGGACGAAATAGGACAAGTTGAAAGTAAGTGTCTTATGTTCTCCGATGGTGCAATTTAACAATTGAAATCATCAAATGGAAACAAAAATATTTAAACTAGTAAAAGAGGATAGAAGTTTAAACGATCGGAATCGAATCGAACAAATCAAATCACCAGGAATGAACATAAAATTAGTGAATATAGAAAGATATGACGCTACGAAGCCTTAGGCAGAACATGGCTTCAACATAGAGTTGTATTAAAACTGCTCATTCGATAATCATTCATAACCATGCTAATATTTCCCACTGATTATGTTTCAGCAGTTTGAAAACGATTGTACTTTTTTCGTTTCTGTTACAACTCTGAAACGTTTACTATTTTTTCATTTGTCTTATGATATTTTGTTATCCCATAGTAAACTATTGTATAATTATATGAATAATATATACACTTATTCATTTATATATTTCAACATGTTATCCATTAAACAATGAAGTGTATTCACAGATAATGTTCCAGCAGTTCGAAAATGTGTGTATTTCTTCGTATTCTATTATAAATGAATAAACTGTTTTATTGTAGTAAATGACAATTTGCTATATTGTTATTCTTTATTGTATCCGGATTTTTCTTAGTAAACTACTTTGCATGGAATTGGTTTATTTTCAACGAATGATATTTATTGGGAATATTTTGTTCTTGCTTTTCAATCATCATTTGTACATGTTTGATTTAATTTTTGGACAGAATGAAGAAATAAAAAAAAATTAAATGACTTGTTTGAACTCTGCTGTAAACATTCACAGACATTAGGGTTGGGGCGCATTATGTAATTCTGTTGCCAAATACATTCTGTATCGTGTAAATCAGTTTTATGAAAACAGTATTCTACAAGGGGCCAAATCTACACATTTCGGTAGTGTGCGTACGCAATCATTTTCGACTATGAATAATCGCAGCATTAAATTTTATGACGCACTTGCGCCTCCTGTTTCTGCGCTGAACACCTGTCTCAGTAAGATATGTATGTAACTGTTTCTGATCTATTATCAATAATCAGAAAATTTTAATCTACTTATTAACAATGTGAAGGATAGATAATACGGACCGACCCCGGAATAAAATTGTCAATTATATTTAATGCTCATAATACGATCCCAAGCTTTTAATTTCTTCTGTAAAACTCAAATTCAAAATCGTTTTATTCAACTTTATATTCAAACTCATATCGTTCTATGTAAGTATCATAACTGTAAAAATAGGACGATTTACAATGCTGTCCACGCATTATATACCTGCGCATAAGGATTGAGTCTGTATTTTCGATGCGCACGATTTTCAAGGCTCCCGGAGTTGTTGATTATGACAATTTAATTTGAAAAGACCATCATAATTTGAATACACTGACATGATATACGAGTAATTAAACTTATTCACAAAGTTACATATTTTACATTTAAGTTTTGAATTTGATTTGAATTGAAAATATCTACAGATTTTGCGCAAAAAAATTTAAATGCCAAGCTGCTATACTGGATTGTCTCTGAGTAATAGTTTTTCATACTTCACTGCCAACTTTCTCTCAAATTTAGATCGCAATATGATTGAATACTGTTTGCTATTATTGAATCAATAGATAAAAACATTGGAATTCACTACTACTCAAACATCTCAAATATAACAAAATTTATTATCATCTCTTACCAATATTATAAACATCTCATTTACTTCCGACGACCTTGAATGATTATACTATAATGGAAAATTTTCAAAATGGAACCCTTTATATATATAAACTATGAGTGGTTATCCTAGTTTTTAGTAGATTGAAGCGTCAATGAAACATACCAGAACCCAAGTGAAATAGTTTGTCTCTTTCGTTCTGATCTGTAAAGACTATAAATATATAAATATCAGCAAAACTAATACGGGCAAATCGAATGGCAATCCTTGAAGGCATATGATTATATTTGGAAATTATACATTTATCAATATAAACTCCACGATTTGAATAGAAACCACTGACGTGTACGTGCGGGACCCCGAGGTGCCGCAAAAGCCCGCAGAAAATAACTATTGTAAATCATTATCTTATAATGAAGATACGGATAAATTTGAATTATTCCATATTAAATGAATTTTATAAATTGTTAAACAGCCCACATATCAAGTGTGTTGTTAGTTGGCTGGGATTCAATCTGAATAATTCGTTATTGATGACCAGGATTGTGCCCAGAGTTCGGAGGAAATAGCATAATAATAGACGAGGTACCGAATACCGAACAATAAGAAGATCGCTCCTTGAGTCAATTTCACCAATAGCTCCAAAAGACATTTTCATAAAATGTAGTATATCATAATAATGAAAATGTGATAGAAATGATTCTGTAGGCAGTTTAGACAAATATGCACCATTCAAGGTCTATTGATATATCGGTCGCCGCTGCTTTGGATTTTCAAAAAAAATTCAATGCGAAAGAATTTTAAATTTTTGTATAGATCAATCAAGTACAAGTTTGTGTAAAAATAAAATGCCGGTATCAAATTTTGGTAAAAGTTTTTTGACGTATTAGAAACCAAAGCATTACTGCAATATTAAAAAAAAAGAATTCCTAGCGGGCATTTATTGGACACAACTAGACTTATAAATCTTGTTAAGAAATTGTAAAAAATATTGTCAGATAGCACTAGTTGAGGATGAAAGTGCTTAGACAAGAAGATCGCTCTGTTGGTCAATGGCCCCAATAGCTCCAAAGAACAACTTCATAAAATGCTTTATATTAGAATAATACAGATAAAATATAAAAAATTATCATCGCTTTAGACAAAAGTTGTCGGACCTGCGGCCAGAGGCCGCCAAAGAATTTTGTGCGGAATATCATCGTTTTAGAAGAATTTGCGTCCTTCAATGATGATTTAAAATATTGGTCGCCGCTGATTCCAACAATCGGAGAATTTTAATTCTTTTCTGTCTTATGTTCAATATCTTTATAACAGTTGTAAGAATTTTACAACAATGCTACTAATTGTACCAATTATATTTCTCACTTTGATTGATGGTTCTCTGACACAAGAACATATTGGTGAGTATTTATATAATTTCTTGAAAATAAATCTGTTGCACAGGATGCAGTTGCATATTGCATTGGAAACCAATCACACGAATTCAATACTTACAGTCAAAAAATTAGTTGAATAATTCAATATCAAGTTCATAAGGAAAGTTAACAAAACGTTGAACGAAAATGACAAAAGACTCCTGACACCGTGTTCTTGTGACTAGTGGCTTCACCACGAAATTGTTGGGTTTTAAAAATAATGCTTCACTAGTTAATTTGCGCATCTAAAAGTGGTTTTGTTAAATTTCATTATTTATTAAAATAGAATGCAGTAAAATTTCAATGAAATATAAAATTTGATTATTTCTTTTTAGTTGAAAAAATGTCTTTTATGAAGTAGTTTCTGCTGTTGAAGAATGAGGATCATGAAAATATTTTATTTTCTCATAATTTACCGTTACGTATTATTTTTCATAGAAAAAATTGAAGTATACTAACTAAATGTAATAAAATACAGCAATATAAAATAAAGCAGATTTTTTATGTTTTTTTTTTTAAATTTCAGACCAGAAAGCATTGCTTGAGATAATCTTTGTAGTTGATGGATCGGGATCATTTGGAGAATCAAACTTTACAATAGTGAAGGAATGGCTTGTAAACCAAACAGTAAACATATATGAAGCATTTGGAGACTCCGCAAATGTTGAAGTATTACAATATTCAAACAAGGACAATCCCTGGGACAGGTAATGTGTGCATTTTCTATATTATTTATATATTAGGTAATATCATTCTCGTGTAATAATCTTGTCTAATAATCAAATTAATTGATTTATTAAATGAAAAAATTATTGGTTTATTTACAATAACTAAATATTAAATATCGTGGAAAGAATTTTCGTCTCAATTTTCGCTATTGTTCTAATTGGGTTCGGTGAATTCTATGACAATTATTCCTAGGGTTTCGATTGAAGATTCAAAGAAGTTTGTTATTCCGTTTGTGCTGGGAGATTGCGTAAATTATGCATCCTGTTTCACATCAAGGATTATGAGCATGCCATACTTGAATTCGGCAACTTATACTTACTATGCACTACGGAGAGTAATGGAGATGAGATGGGTTGTGTGATAGACGAATAAAACGTAAGAAAAAATGTGTCTTATATCAATTAGTAGTGATGAAAGATTTCATTGGTGCCAGATATTAGTGGGTGTAAGGTTGTGACTATATTCATTTAAAGTATTTACATCGCTATCTTTATATTATACCAATATCATACTTTTCCTGATGCTTGCAACCATTTTACACTGGTTTTATTTAATTTTATATTAGTCACCGTTTATAGACAGTGTTTGAATCATCGTCTAGCGTTCTTATTTGAAATATTTGTGACATAAAGTTTTTTGACATTTTAGCCTCAATGATACGCGTTGTTTTCGACATCAAAACCCACTTTACAAGCTGTTCATTCCAGGAACGATGGCATCAAAAATATTGATCTAATTAACAAAAGAAACATTTTATCACAAATAGCATATTAATTTTTGTTTCTATAGCTATTTTCCGTAAATTATCATGTTTATTTATATGCAGGTAGAATTTCCAAAAAAATCTCGAAGTTACTCTACATCCACCAAAGCAGTTATTGTTATAACTGATGGCGAAGCGAATGACGGTGCTTACCTTCGTGGCTGGTATGTTACATGGTTGCTGATTGATACTTTGTAAACTAGCGCTGACATAACTTGATTAAGATGATATATTATAATATTCATTTTACTGGTAAATAAATTTACCAAATGTTGATTGAAAATCTGCCACAAATTAGGGACTGCAACATTTTAACTATTTGTTTTAAAACAACATCAGAAAAATGAATTTTAGTCTCGTCAGCTTTGATGTTCACCATGTACTAAGAGAGGGTCACGAACCTATTTGCTATCGCGGGCGATATTACCGGTCAGCACTGAGTAAGCGTGCTCATGTACTAAGTCATACTCAGATACCTATTAATTT